AAATTTGCAATTGTTTAAGAAAAGAATGAAATAAAAAATCTAAAAATGTAGTTGTTATTTAAATATTTTAAATGAATAATACACTAACTGAAGAACAACCACATTTAATATCCTGACGGTTCAAAAAAAGCGACAAGGTAAAGAACCGTAAAGAAACTCTCGAAGGAGCTTATATATCGCTCACCTAAAAAACTAATTACATATTTACATTAACATAAAAAAAATTTATAACTTATTTTTCAGAACTCGGACTTCCATCTGTGGTTGCATTCATGTAATGCTCCGATTCGAGTTGGTACGATGACTCTTGAGCCCGACGTCTTGCCAAGAGCCAATCTTGGTTGCAAACCAATGTTTCAATAGATTCAGCGTTAAGACAACTTCGGTAGTCGGTTAGAATGTTGCCACCAGCACTGAATTCTCGTTCAAGTGCTACGGTTGATACCGGGACGGACAACACTTGTCTTGCTAGCATGCCGAGACATGGGAACATGTGTTCGTTCCGCTTCCACCATTCGAGCACGTCAAAATCGACGTCGTCGTCATCGTAATCGCATAGCACACCCTAGTACATAGCAAGTTCGTTGTGCGAGCTTACTGTTGTACCACTTGAACTCGTCGAAGATAGGGCACGCTTTCCTTTCTTTGCAAGAAGGCCACCAACTATTCCGGCAAAACCTTTTTTTGATTTTGGGGGCGGAGGTGGTGTTGTTTCTTCTTGTACAGTACCGTATAACCCTTGATATTCCTTAAACAAATCCTCAAAAAGAGTTATAGCATTATCTTTTTCATTTTTCCATTCTACTAAATAGCTGTAGTAATAACTATTTTTATCTAAAAAACAACTGTAGTAATACTCAATTAGAATTTTAAAATTTTCAATCTTAAATCGTGGATCACAAATAATACCTATTTTATAAATATCAGGAATGTACAAATAATAAGTACACCATTTATATCTCATAGGCGAGACATAAGGGTACAAATCTGGATCAGCCATACTTTCACGAAAACATGTTGCGATTGTAATGCACTCTTTAAAAAATGTATTTGTAGTTGGTTGGTAAACATGGGAAAAAGTAAGAGTTGCATTATTAAAAACTTCTAATACGGCATTCAATTTTTCAACAATAGCAAATTCAAAAGGATTAATGATTATACGAAGTTCATCCCTATAAAATTCAGCAAGTTCCTCTTTATATCTTAGGATCTGTGCAATCAATTTGTAAGTACTATTCCATCTAATGTTGATATCTCTGGCAAAATTATTTCTTTTTTACCCTTAGACTTACAGAACATCTTACAGGACCTTGAAATAAGACGAGCCCCCCAAATTTTTTAAATTCCTTCTTTAATATTTGTCAAAACTCCGCCAATAGCTTCTAGTCCCTATTGAACACATAAATTTAAAACATGACAGGCACACCGTTGATGCAGAAATCTACCCATAGTTGTAGACGGTGGGCAAATTTCTCTAAGTCTAGGAATAGCAGCAGTATTATTAGTAGCATTATCAAAACCAAATGAAATTTTTTTTTCAGATAAGTTATATTCCCGCAGAATACTCTAAAGCAATAGAAAAATATTTTCAGCAGTATGCTGATCATTGAAATCACGAAATGCAAGAACGCGTTTATGCATAATCCAATCACTATCTATCCAATGACAAGTAACACCCATATAAGACAAATTATGATAAGTTTCACCCCAAATATCAGAACAAATAGCAACACGAGAATTAAAATTGAGAAAAAAATTTGTCAAATTAATTTTTTCCATTTTATACTGGCGAATAATTTCTCGTTTAATTGTTTTTCTTGAAAAACCTCGTGCTTGAGTGTTTAATGCCTGTTGACAATAATCAATAAAACCAAGTTTTTCAGAAAACATGTATGGTAAATTTTCTTCACAAATCATTTCGGCCATTTTTTGCTTATTTTGCTCGTCGCTATAAGCAAAAAGGCCACCCTTACTTCTGTTAGCAAACCGAGAAATTTGGGTTTGCACTTCTTGTCGTCCCTTCTTTTTTGCCTCGTATTTGGCGTACTCCACGGGATGCCTCGACCTTAGGTGTTTTTCCAGACCGCCATAACCGCCGGAAACTCCCATTTTTATGACGGTCCCGTAATGTTTACAAGTTCCATAAACTATGCCATCTTTTGTGTCATTGTCAAAATGATAAACAAATAAATCTGATTTATATTTTTTTTTACCTTTGTCCGGACCTCGAGAGGTCTCGGGCTCACCTGCCTCCACGCCGACGTCATTGCTCTGTGGTGTAGGCTCCTCGTCCCCGTCTAGATTATCCAGTCCTGCTTCATCAAAATCTTCGAATACACTATCAAGAGTGGGGAGATTAGCGTCCCCTCTACGAAAATAAATCTAGTCGAATTCTTCATCCGTCATAGCGTCTCCAATTAGTAGGAAAGGAAGAGACAGAGTGTCTTCCTCGAGAACCGCGTCCGCGTGAGGTCGAACTGTCGGAGGTGGCTTTAGCTTTGCCTTTACTCAATCTTCGGTTCACGTCGCCCATATCCACGGACCTTCTACCGGACTCTCTCAACATTTTAATATATATTTTTTTGATATTAAAAAATATATTAAATTTGGAAAATTTAAAAAAATTTTGAAATTTTATATATTAAAATTTTGAAAATTTCAAAAAGTAAAGAATATATTTAAAATATAACTTATATATTTTTTGATATTAAATAAAATATTAAATTTCAAAAATTTAAATTAATTTTGAAATTTTATATATTAATATATAAAATATTTTAAAAAAATATATAAAAGATAATAATAAGAATATAAGATTGAGATTTGAGTGATTGAGATTTGAGAATTGAGAGATTGAGATTTGAGAGATTGATAGATTGAGAGAATGAGAGAATGATTGAGTGATTTTTTTTTGAAAAAATGGAAGTATTTATAAGTTTATCCCCCCTCCCCCCAAATCCCCAATGCCTCAAACGGCTATGTAACCGACTTTTAGGCGTCACCATCTATTCCCTTTACCTAGTTTTCCTGTCCTTTCCTCCTTTTTTCCATCAAAGATCTTGCAGCAGGTCCATAAAAATTGGGTTTGTCTGATTTGTTATTTAAAAAACCTTAAGGCCCGTCAGCAGTCATCTGTCCTGGTTCGGACGGTGTTTGTCCATGCTGGCATTCCCATCCAGTCCAGATCCTCTGCACCTGGTTTGTCCTTCCTCACCTTGGCGAATCGTCATTCAACATCTACTATCAAGAGAGTTTCAAATTAGGTGTTGTCCAAATATGCACCTTGTCAAGTTGTGATGTCATAATCTTTTTGTCATGTATGTAGTTTCATCCAGATCCAACAAAAATCATAGTAGATATTGATTTTGTTTGTAGTCTGGGGAAGAGGTTCATGTTAAGTATTTCGTCCACCTTTTGATCAATGTTTTGACGACAGAGTATTGGTTGTTTGACTTATTTGGCATGTATAGTCGCAACATGTCGTATGTATGGCATGTCAGTTTGTGGGGGTCGATCGTCGAACCTCAGTCCGGCAATATTTTGTCCATTTGTTTGTCGTCCCGTGTGGGAGTCATCCGTCATGAAATTTTGGTTGTTCGTTTGCTCGTCCAGTAACCTTCATCCGTTGTTCGCATAGCAAATTAAAGTTTTGTCCAAGTTATTTATCGAGTTGTTTTTTTTCTAGTCTTAATTTGATTATCCAAGTTGTTCATTCTTGATCCCCATTCTCATTTTTGAGGGGGAGTGTTAGAATATGTTTTACGGTTTGATAGTTTTTTTATTTTGATATAACACTTTTTTTAGTAGGAATAAAATTATTAGAGGTTTACTTATTTGTTTTACTCTTTTCCTATTTAAAGAGAGTTAGTTCTTTGTATTTAACAAGACAATTCATTATAAAATTTTTAATACAACACTTTGTTCAAAATAAAAACTTTTTTACCCTTGCCACGGTCTCTGCCCTTTGGACCCCGCAGGGATTGTCGTCCCTTGAACCTTGCTTGGGAATGCTGCCCCTTTAGAACCCGCATTAAAATGATACTTTTATCACTTTAAACTCAGCAAAGCATGCATTCTGCACTACCAAACTTCTTTGATGATTATTATGATACCATTGGTCAAATAATTTTTCCAATTGTACTAAAATATATAACAATTTACTTTCAATTTATGACAACAATTCGAGGATGGATTATGAAGTAGGTTCCATCATTTTTTCTGATCAAGACACTTTAGGTGTTTATCACTTTGTTGTCATATTATGCCAATAGAAGTTGTCAAAAGAACTGAAGCATAATAACTTTTGAAACTTGTTTGCTAGATAAATTTAGTGAAATTGTTTATTTCAATTATACTACCCATAGAATATAATTTTTTTATTTAACTGATGTTGAAAATTTATTTATATTAATTAAAAAGGTCAATTTAGACAAATAATTTGCGACGATGATAATATTAGAAGATATTCCCTCCGTCCATCATAGATCTTGTCAAATTCCGTTTTTGTTTATCCACAAAATTCTTTTCATTACTTTTTTAACATTTAAAATACTATAACTACTCTCACTTACTTTATTTACTACAGCTCACCTACCTCATTTAACACACTTTACTCACTTTCAATAAAGTTATTTTAGTGAACTTTCATGTCTTTACAACTCTTTTTAAGAATTACAAAAGATAAACCCAAAAAGATGTATAAGGGACAGAAGAAGTAGAATAATAAAAGTGGATTTGTCGTCTAAAAATTTACCTTGTGTTCTACTTGTTTGAAATTCACTTGCACTTCAGTTTTAGTTTTTTAGGCAGACCGGTAAAACATTTTCTTGTTGGCCTCATTTGGCATCAACATTAGCGGTTAGCATTAGCATTTTGAAAAGGCGCAAACGCTAATAAAAAACGTTGTTACCAAACAAGACTATCGTATTTTTTATTTTGTTCTACTTGTTCGAAAAATGATATGGTGCTTTCTCTGATGGTAAGTTTACCTTTTTGCCATTCTAATTGTATTATTTTTAATACTAATTGACAATGTAAAATAAAATTTGACCTAGCACACAAGGGAAAAGTAAGTATACTAATAAAATAGATAAAAAAAAACATTGCATTGTATAAAATTCATCATCTCAATCAAATGTTTCAACAAAAATGAAAACAAATCTAATTGTAAAACAAATAAAGTAAAGAATTAACTATTTTCACTATTAGTTGTTGCCCACATTTCATTTGCAAGATTCAATCTCCATTCGTTAGCTTTCTCTTGTTGTTGATCTTGTGTTTGAGTATCATCCCATTCATAACTCTCATCTGTTTCATTTGTTGTGTCTTCATCCGGAGCTGGAGGAAATTCATCTGAACGACACTCACGTCGAAGAAAATTGTGTAGTCCCACACACGCTAAAACAAGTTCTGCTTGTGTCTTGTATGAAAATGGTGGTGCTGTTTTGAATATTGTGAATCGTGACTTGAATACTCCATATATTCGCTCAATTACATTTCTTAAGGAAGAATGTCGAAGATTGAACAACTCTCGTGCATTGGTAGGGTGATTTCCTCCTCCGCCAAAATCCTTAAGATGGTATCGAGTACCTCGAAACGGTGTTAAAAACTCACAACGATTTGGAAAACCACAATCTCCCAAGTAATATTTACCTATTCATGAAAATATTATTTAATAAGTATGCATTTATGTGTTGCATAAATTGCAATTTTAAGAGACTCAATTTAAGAAGAAAAAATATATACCTGATGGCACTTTGAGCCCATTTGGTCTAGAAAGTGCATCATTTAAAACTTTTGAATCATGGGCAAAACCCTCCCATCCACTAAGCACGTAAATGAATTGCAGATCAAAATTGCATACAGCTAAGACATTTTGAGATATAGTCCCATGACGATTGCGATAACTACTTACTTCACGCCCAACTACCATTGCTGGAATATGGGTGTCGTCTATCGCTCCAACACAATCCTGAAAAAATGAATTACAAAAAAAATGTATATTTATTGGTGTATAATTAAGATGGTCTAATGTCAGTGTTAATTTTCATAGCTTACCTTAAACTAAGGATAAAACCTTGTGCTCTCTTTGATGATGTATGGTACAGACTCTGGTTTGGCCATAAGATGTGGTGCTATTGTATTCAAAGCCTTCAACACTTTGTTGAAACTTCTACTAATAGAGAAGTGTGATCGTTGAAATATCATTTTAGGTTCACTATAACGATTGTTTTGACCAAAAACTAGCAAAAAAGTTGCGAGCATTTCTTCAACACAAATATACCTTGTGTCTCTTAAAGGTGTTTTCTCTTTTAGGATAAAACATAATTTTCGAATTACATCTGGGTACATTCTGAATAGCATTCTAAACTTATGAGGGTCATCATCCAATATTTTGTGCATGTACTCGTATCCAGTAAAAGTCACTGATCGACGAGTCAATGGACGTCTAACAGGTTTCTCTGCTCCTTCTTCCTTGGACGTTATTGTGTGATGAAGGTTGATCTTCTAAGTTTGAACTTTTTGTAGGTTCTAGTGAGGCTAGATTAGTTTGTATGAAGGCATTAGTATTTTCATCAAAGACTAACTTGTCTATGGACTCAAACTAGACCTGGAAAAAAATGACCCGACCTGTTTTTGACCCGAAACTCGACCTAAAAACACTGGGTTTTGAACAATGGTTTTGATGACCGAACCCGAAATGACCCGCTAAAAAAGGTCAAACCCGACCGAACCCGAACCTGACCTGACTGACCCGCTAAAGTAAGAATTTTTCAAAAGCATACACTTTACTACTCGTTTTTAGTGTACAAATTTATATTTGCAGAGAAAATTTTAATGATATTGCATAATTATCTTACTTTTTTCCAAAACTTAAGCATTTTTTAAATTCCTTATATTGATTTATATATCTAAAAAATTACTTCAGAGTTTAAAATAAATCAATTTTATAGATTTAATACATTTTTTTTGATATTTTAAATTTATTTAATAGAAAATGTAAGTGGTAATGTGAATTTAAAAATTTTAAAAATCAAAGTTATAACCCGTTGGGTCGACCCGAACCCGACGATACTGGGTCATGAACATACAGTTCTCAACCCGAACCCGAATTGACCCAAACTCGAAATAACCCGAACTTGAAGTGACCGAACCCGAACCCGACCTGACCGACCGATTTGCCAGCTCTAACTCAAACCCATCAACTTCATCTTCTTCTTCTACTTGTAATATAGTGGCATCTGTGTCATTGCCAAGGCCAATTGCATTCATGCATGTTGCAGTTCCATTTCCTACGCTCAAATTGTGAACACGATTTTAAGCATTAACTTAAAGCAAAAAAATGAAGAAAAATATAAGCTCACCTTTAAGTAATCTTCCCATATTTCATTAGGAGCAGTGAATTTCTTTGTGGTTGCATCCCACCCAAATCCAAAATTATGGCGTAGAAGCTTAGAGTAATTAGAATATTGTTTCTTAAACCATTTCACTCTACTTTGATATTGACTAAAACTAATTTCATAACCAAGTTTTTCCTTAAGTTTTGGAAGAAGTTTCTTTTCCACTGTTTGTTTTGTAATGACTCCATTAACATCACGTAGACCACGTTTTGCTCCATCAACCATCAATTGCAGCAATATGTTACTCTCTTCGGTTGACCAAGTTTTATAATCCTTTCGCTTACCATTCTCTTGTGAATCTTCCATCTCTATGATAGTATACAGTCAACCATAAATCAATTTACATCATACGTGAAATAGAACAAAAATCATATAAACTATTCCTATTTCCCAATGCTAAAAACCTAATCCGTAGGTTTTGGACCAACACAAATATAATAATTGGCAGATACTCAAGAACATGCATAATTTAATAATATGGAAACAGAGCACACACAGTCTAAAAAATTTATACAAATTGAAAGTGTTCAAGTAATGTAATATTGTACTTGGAAGGTAGAGAATATAGAAAGATTATCATGGTAGGTCGGACTAATAAAATTACTACAAACAAGACATGCAAGGTATATCAATGAATTTTTTTTCCCTATCATTTTAACAATAAGAAATGGCATCCGTTAGAGCGTGGTATCCACCGAGTATTATTTCTAGTGAAAAAAACATTTTTTTCAACACTCACTGCTAGAACATTTTGATTTTTCTCACATGCTTCCCCTATTTTCTCATAGGAGACAATGTGATCAAAAAGTTGCAGCTTTTCTTCATGTTGTAATAAGGAAACAATGGCAAATGTGTTGTACAAAACTGTTTTTGCGAAAATAGCATGTGATTTATTCATGGGTTTAATTACTCATATCCCCCACCCACCACTACAAACACACACCCCAAATTCCATCAAACCTAGTTTTTTTCTTTTTGATTAGAACAATAAGAACATATAGAGTGCATCAAAGAACTTTTTTTTCCTTTTTGTGGTAACTTCATCATATTTGTGGTAAAAAAAATTATTTGGTTCTCAACAACTCTTCCTCGTCCAGTTTTAGAAGTCTATTTTGTAATTGACCTATTTTACTCCTATGGACAGACTCCCACAAAAGGTATAACAATAAATGTAAAAAAAAAAGTGTAGATCAGTGTTTTCCCTTCTTTAACTGATCTTTGACGATTTTGAGTAAAATCTAATCGTATAAAACTTGAGAGGAGGAAAATATTTAAGAAAGAACTAACCCCCCAAATTATCTGAAACTGGTTAAAGGGAAGCTAACATCATTCAGTGTATGGCCATATGATGCGAGACCACAAATAGACGCCAAAAAAAGCAAATGCAACCAGGGAATAAAAACTAGATTGAAGAAAGCCTAGGGAATATAATTGTCTAATAATTAAAAAGAAAGCCTCATCATTCAAGAAAATCACATGGCAACGACAAGATGAAATCAAAAGAAAAAGCAAACAATTAAGGGCAATTAAGGATTGAATTTCAAAAGAATGAAAATCTTACTCGACGGCGCTGTGTTGCTATGATTTCAAGCTGTCCGGAGCAATTGAGAATGATGAGGCGGCAGACCTAGGGCTCTTGCGTTAAAAAAATCCAGGAAGAATACTTGCTCTTGTGTAAAGAAAATAATGGAGTAGTATAATTTTCTTTCACAAGTCGGATTGAGAAGACTTCCATGACTTGTCCTAACCTTCATATGATTAGAAAAAATAAGTAATTTATTTCGTCCACTCGTCAAGAGACATAACACTCAGAAAAAACTAACACTTTTTAAAAAGGTTGATTATGGCTAAAGCTTTTCCATCACCCACTGATAAGAGATATTAGATCTATATAGGTTAAGCCATCAGAGCCTTTAAGCAGTACTGCAAACCATTAATTGCTATTAATGCATGCCATTTAAAAGGTCCATATCAGGGAGTGCTATTAATTGCTAATTGCTTTGGCCTTAGATTGAAAAATGGTTAACTTCTTTTGGCATATGGTGTTGCTAATTTTGACAATGGACGGAGAGTAATCTTTCCTCCTACTTGGGCAAGTTGTGGCACTTGGTTGCACTATAGAATCATCCAGATACAGGATAATATCTGACATGCAACTGGTAAATCTTTAGTTCAGCATGATTGTTTTATTATTACCATATGTGTTGTAATTTTTTTCTGGTATGTTACAGGTAATAAAATGGCTCAAAAATGTTGTTCCAATAGCTTCAATGAGGATTTGTATTCTATATTTTTTTAAGAACTTTGCTTCAAAATTCCCATGTATATTAGCCTTTTTATCTAATTGTTGTTCAACTAAGTTAAATGTTATAAATGGCTAACTTAATGCACAAATTAATTCTGATTGGTGCATGGTTCAAATCATTCTATTACATGGTGACAAATACTTCTCAACAAAGTAATAGGTAACATAAAGGAAAAAAATGTTGAAGCCTTTGACTGGCTTATAACAAATGACCCGCAAGAGAATTGGGCAAGGAACTAACTTGATCTAATATTAAAGTGTGTGATGACAAAACAAATAACATTGTGGAACCATTCAATAAGGCAATAGTAGCACATAGAGCAAAGTCCATCTCGCAAATATTAGAAGAGATTAGACAACTAATAGGCAGTTTCTTTGAAAAAAGGTTTGAAGTGGATAAGAATTGATCTACTATTGTAATACCCTATATAGACAAAAGGTTAAGGGTCCAAGTAATAGAGTCTGTGGTATGTTCTAAGATTGTAGCATAGATAGAAACACCAACTTCATAATAACGCTGAGAGACCACTCTTAGGACTCCAATAGGTGACATGTGTCATGCCTTCCATGTAAGCATGTGACTAGATGCATTTAAGGATGAATTAGAAATTGAAAGACTACTATTTATATTGGTTTGCAGTACACATGTACAAGAGTCTTTATGATGGTATCATACACCCTATCTCAGATGCATGCTTGTCAGGGATAACTCCCTCCCAAAATTGGACCCCCTAAGAACATGAAAAAGAAGGGGCGACCAACAAGCACAAAAGAGGAGATGGACTTGATGATATAATAGCAAAGAAGAAGGGGATAACTCGTGGGACTAAGCATTGTAGCAAATGAAAGCAGTTGGAACATAAGTAACACAACCATAAGACATGTGGGTAGAGTAGTGCTAAAGCGAAATGTAAGGTCACCATTAATGGAATTGCCAAAGCAAGAGGGTATAAACCTCTTATTCAAGATCCATCAGCCTCTTCGTCGTGCCATTCTTAGCTTCTGTGATAATATTAGTGTTGTCTCTCTACCAATCCTCCATGTTCAACATCAGCGTACAAAACGTGTCAAGGTATATATTCCCTTCGTGCAAGACAAGGTTGCCTTGGGGTGCGTGCATATTTTTCATGTTCCTTCATCCTCAAATTATGGAGACATATTCACACAAGGCATTCCATCACTTCTTTGTCAAGACTTTCGGGACATTCATGGCGTTTAATATCTTCTGCTAACGATGTCGGGAGCATGTTAAATATATTTTATAATATTTAATATTATAGATATTGTTTAAACTATTTGTGTAGTTACATATAATTGTTCTTGCTGTTTTTGTATATAGTTGTATTCCTTGTATACTTCATCGAGATAAATAGGCCTGAGAGTCCCTGGATTATTGAGTGAAAAGATTCGTTGTACATATGGGCATTTGTGGAGTGCCAATAACATAGATAGAGTGTAGGTAATAGCGACAATATAAGATTAGGTTCGATTCGGGATATAATTATTGAAATCATTTGAAAACTTACTTTTTGGTTGGATATCATGTCTCTTCAATTCGTGCGTGTACCTGCCTAGTCCTAGGAAAGACGTTTTTTGAGTTAAATATATTTTTAGTCCTTGTAAGATATACGATATTGTTTTCCTCACTATAAGATTATTCTATTTAAGCCATTCTTACAAAAATTTTTATTTTGATAATCGTCCTTAAAAGTAATTAGCATTTCTAATTAATTGAGATAACACATTTATTGTTACAACTTTTGTACGGATTACAACGGACGGAGAAGATGAACGGCCTCGGAAAATAAAAATAAATAAAATTCTGAATTTATAACTTATTCAGAATATTACAAGATAAACAGAATTGAAAATAAATTTATATATCTTCAAACAGCCTTGTTGTATGAGGACATTAAGCACTGGACATCGAGGACATTATGCACTGGACAGCAAGGACATTATGCACTGGGCTGCGAGAACATTATGCACTAGGGCAGAATGCAACGAGGTCTTTATGAACTAAACCTGCAAAACAAAACACCGTGAAGGACAACGGAGTCGCCGGAGCTGTCCTTAAGGTAGTAGTGCCCGCCTACCGTACCAGAAAAACGTGGGCACTCTCCTCCCAGGATAAAACCGCTATCATGTGTGAGATTGTACGGACCAACCACACACCAACGAACAAGAACAACGTAGGAACGTTGGCGACCAAAAAACTTTGAAGGGGATGGCCAGAAATTTGGCTGGAAAATCAAGAGCTCTCTCTAAAAATTAAACAAGAAAGTTTTCCCTTTCTTTTTTTTCCTTCCTCACGTGTGAAACCCACACATAAAACACACCACACTAAATAATGGAGAGCCCTTGATATTTATAACTAAGGAATTTTAAAAAGTGTAACTCCTACACCATTAATCCATGGCATTTGTGGCACAATAATGACGTATTCATGGTGATAAATGGCCAGTTAACTCCGTAAAAATGACTAATTTTAAACAATACGTAAAATTAATAATAAAAGATTGGCTCAGTAAAATTGCAAAAAATTGCAATCCTTACCATATTCTTTTATTAACAGGTTAACTCTGAGAATCAATTTCTCATTCACCCTCTACCATTTTTGGCGTATAAATTATCAAAACATTTATCTCATTTAATAGAACACACGTCCATTAATTAACGGTTAAAACCGTTAGTGGACCTATTGATAAATATAACCAAGTAGGTCCATTTAATGCCTATTAAAATGCCAAAAATTCCAACATTTATTTTACACTCGAAGTCTTAGCTTGCATTTATAATCATCTCTAACACAGTTCTCATGCCTTAAAGTGTCTTATTGAACGCCCAATCGAAGAATTCCCAAGTCCACGGTTTGGGTGTGTTTGGATTTTCATAAGTGTGTTTCCACCATTCATAGGCTTCCTTGCGGAGCAACTGAGATGCAAATTTTGGATGATCAGCAAAAGGTATGTTCAGATTTTGTAGTACACGACCGGTCTGCTCGATCCACTCAAGAGCGATCTGGGGTTCGACAATTCGATCTCCCAGGAACTCCTCAGCACCATTATCTTTCTAGGTTTTGAAAGTGATCAAACGAAGTGGTGGTGGAGGTGGTTGAAACATAGGGGCATTGGTCATTTTTTGCAAGAAGTTTACCATTAAGGTATGTAGCATAACGTCAGGTTGACCTCCAATATTTTGATCGTTTTGGGGAACATGTTGTGAGTTCACTTGTTCAGTTTGAATAGGAGGTGTGAAACTGGATACTTCAGTATGAACAATTTCGTGCCCATCGCTTGGCACTTGGTTACTTTGATCATGAGCGTTTTCTTGACTCATTCTACAATAACAGAAATTCCTTCGTTAGGATTCTTGATGAGTTGTCAACGGATATTTATTCAGACTATATCGATGTTTAAGTCACTAATCGTGTCATAACAATGTGTCACTTCATTCAACAAGATTGAGCTATCCATAGCTTCTAGCGAGTAGGTTCCTTTGAATTTGACCGAACAAATTGTCAATTCATAGTAAAGGGTAGCAATTCTTGATCGTCAGTTTGTCTGTCTTAACAGAGATGTGATAGTATCTTTGACCGTAAGTCAATCTTAGAGAGCACAATGGATTCTCTAAGATGATCAAATAAGTCATGGATATGATATAAGGATAACGTCAATTTCTTTGTAGGATATTTCAACAAAGTTTTGCAAGGAATTGTTGCTGAACGAACGATTTTGATTCGTATAATATAATCGCATATTTGCGTCGTAATGAGTTAGACATCAGAATGGGATACTTTTAGACAACAGAGTTTATTGGTTCTAAATGTTCGTGTTTAAATCAGCAATCCGATCATCTTCAGTCCACATGAGGATCTTTGACAGCAGCTTCGCGAATGTTATTCAACATTAGGCGTTTCTTCATAGTCATCTCACTTCTATGCGACTTTGCGAGGCAGATCAGTTTCGTCATTTGCGATATGATAAGTACGTTGATAACGTATCACAATTTATTTTATTCTTTCGTCTCTTCACCGAGTACGAAAAATCTACTTGAGTCTATGCTCGATATAATTTCAGTACTAACAATTGTTATCTAATGAGAATTTTAACAAAGTCAATATTTATCTAATAAATTCCCATACCTTTCCTGGAGCAGAGGGATGCGAGAGCCATGTATGTGATTGACACTTTTTTTAAAATTCAAATTTTGATCCAAAGATCGATTTCAAGACCATTTGCTCTGATACCAAACTATAACACTCTAATCCGTCCAGGTCTGCAGCCCCATTCAGACTAAAGTATTTAACTTGGTAATCGTAAAAATTTAAAACTTTTCAAACACACTTTATTAATCCCAATAATATTTTTCATAACATATCCAGTACGGAGTATTCAACAATATTGCGGAAGCGATTTTAATATTGACATATCATAAATTGTTTCAAAACTTGTCAAATCCATCCCGACAATCTCACCCCATCTGCCGCCAAGATCACATTGTGCTTTCTGTTTACCTGCGTGTAGCAAATAAAACACACTACACGCTCAGTGGTAAAGCTGAGTAAGCATATCTAATGCGTCGAACATCCATATAAATTGAATCTAAATTCATAATCAAATCATTTGATATCATGCACACAATGTTTATTTCAGACATTCACAGTTTTGGTATTGTTCAGTTCATATCAATACATTTTATTCAATTCAGATACTATTTCAGTAGTGCTCTTAAATAATCAATTAATTTATAAAAATTGATTTATATAATTTTAAATAATACATTAATTCATAATAATTGATTTTTACAATTTAAATAATCAATTAATTCATTATAATCGATTTTTACAATTTAAATAATCAATTAATTCATTATAATCGATTTTTACAATATAAATAATCGATTAATTCATAAAAAATCGATTTTTACAATTTAAATAATCCATTAATTCATAATAATCGATTTTTACAATTTAAATAATCAATAAATTCATAATAAGTTTGACTTTGACAGAGTCAAAATTGGTTTAATTGACCTTTCTCATAAAAGGTTTTTTCTCATTTAATTCATATCAATTATTCTCATGATTTATGTTAACAAATCATTTAAATATTTACATTCTAAACAAATTCTTTATGTTACTCGTTATTTGGGTCTGTACTTAGGTTCTCAATCAAGACCACACAAATAGTCCACATATTGGATTTATCTCAATGAGACTTATCCAGATTTTGATATTGGATGTCAAAACACATTTCATATCGGACCAAACCCCAACAATAATTTATTTTAATAAAAATAAATTTGATTAATTAATATTTTTTTCATTAATAATTCTAAGGTATGTTTTGGGGCGTTACATTATCTTTTGACTTCACATAGTCAATTGTGATAATCCCAGTTGTGAGAATTTGTCTAATGGTTTTGTGTCTACAATGAATATGTCTAGACTCACCATTATACATGTTACTATTTGCACGTGTTCTTATGTATTTCTACATTATCAGACCTATACACTAAGAATCGATATACGCTACCACTGTAGCCAATAAAGATTCCATCAACGGTCTTGGGACCAATCTCTATTTTCTTTGGTGGTGGTTCTAACACTTTTGCAAGGCACCCCCACAGTTTCAGGTATTTATAGGAAGGTTTCCTATCATACCACAACTCGTAAGGAGTCTTATCAATTTTCTTCCGGGGTATTTTATTTAACAAATAATTGCTAGATAAAATAACCCCCCCCCCCCACATATTTTGGGGTAGCCCCGAACTGAATAACATCGCATTCATCATATCTTTGAGAGCGCGATTTTTACGTTCCGCCACACCATTTGATTGGGGTGTGTATGGCGGAGTTACTTGATGCACAATTCCTTTGCGGATGCCGCCCTTCTATAAACAGCATATAAGGCATCTCTCAAGCAATTTAGGATAAGGTTAAGGCACGTATAGTTATTCGTTATCCATGCCTCTTTAGC